TGGTAGCGCATACCTGTAATTCCGGCTACTCGGAAGGCTGAGGCGGAAGGATCGCCAGAGCCCAGCAAGTCGAGGCTGCGGTGGGCGGAAGCGGCCGCTGCACTCCAGTCTGGGTGACAGAGGAAGACTCCAACTCAAAAAAAAGAAAAAAAAAAACTGACCTAGGTCAGATGCAGTGGCTCACATCTGTAATCCCAGCACTTTGGGAGGCCAAGGCAGGAAGACCACTGGAGCCTGGGGATTCGAGACCAGCCTAGGCAACATAGTGAAACCTCATTTGTACCAAAAATAAAACATTATCCGGATGTGGTAGCACATGCCTATAGTTCTAGCTACTAGGAAGGCCAAAGCAGAAGGATCTCCTGAGCCTAAGAGGTCAAGGCTATGGTGAGCCGTGACCCTGCCACTGCACTCCAATTGAGCAACAGAGACTCTGACTCAAATAAATAAACAAATTGGGGCTGTTTGGGGATTTGGCTATTTTGTATCTCTCTCTCTCTCTTCTGAATTTTCAGAAGGTCAGATAGACAACTTAGTTTCGGTTTAGTGACATGGAACTAGAACATGAGTGACTTCATTTTATCCTGATCTGTAAGAACCCAGTGCAGGCCTCCTACACATTTGGTTGAACACATCGCCTGTGCACATTTGACTCTTTCCAGACGTTCACACCTTCCCCTGTGTCTCCTTCCTTCTCTCCCCCCATCAAAGCCAGAGGTCACAGACTCCATCTTCTCCCTTTGCCTCCTCCCAAACGCCCCTCCTTCAATGGCAATATTCTGCTCCTCCTTCCTAGATTTCTCCTGAGTCTGATAACTTCTTTTTTTATTTGAGTCAGAGTCTCTGTCGCCCAGGCTGGAGTGCAGAGGCACACTCACAGCCACCGCAGCCTCGACTTGCTGGGCTCAAGCGATCCTTCTGCCTCAGCCTTCCAAGTAGCTGGAAACACAGGCACGCGTCACCACACCCGGCTGATTTTTTTTTTTTTAAGTTGGAGTCTCACTCTGTTGCCTAGGCTGGAAGTGCAGTGGCACAGTCACGGCCACCCCAATGTCGAGCCGCTGGGCTCCAGTGATCCTTCCATCTCAGCCTTCCAAGTAGCCGAAACTACAGGTGCACACTACCACACCTGGCTAGTGTTTTGTTGTTTTTTATTGTAGAGATGAGGTCTCGCCAAGTTGCCCAGACTGGTCTCGAACCCATGGGCTCAGGCAATCCTCTCGTCTCCACTTCCCAAAGTGCCGGGATTACAGGCATGAGCACTTCATACTATTTTATTTTATTTTTTTGAGTAGGCATCTCACTCTGTCGCCCAGTCTGGAGTGCAGTGGCACACTCACGGGCACTGTAGTCTTTGCCCGCTGGGCTTGGCAATCCTTCTGCCTCAGTCTCCCAAGTACCTGGAACTACAGGCGCACACCACCACGCTGAGCTAATTTTTTAATTTATTGTAGAGACGAGGTCTCACCCAAGTTGCCCTGGCTGGTCCAGAACCACTGGGCTCAGGCACTCCTCTCACCTCCACGTCCCAAAGTGCTGGGATTACAGGCGTGAGCCACCATGCCCGGCCAAGTCTGGTCACTCCTTCCTCCTCCACTGCCACTGCAGCTGCCGCCTCCTTGGTTTCCCTGCTTTGCGCTGACCCCTTACACCAGGAGGAGGGAGATTTTTTTTTTTTTTTTTGAGTCAGAGTCTCAGTCTGTCACTCAGACTGGAGTGCAGTGGCTGCTCCTGGCCACCGCAGCCTCGACCTGCTGGGTTTCGGCAATCCTTCCGCCTCAGCCTTCCAAGATATTTTTTTTTAAACGCAAGTCAGATCACGTGACTCCCCCTGTTTAAAAACCTTTTAGGCCACCCAGCGTGGTGGCTCACACCTATAATCTCACCACTTTGGGAGGCTGAGGTGAGAGGATTGCCTGAGCTCATGGGTTCGAGACCAGCCTGGGCAACTTGGCGAGACCTCATCTCTACAATAAATCAAAAAATTAGCCAGGCATGGTGGTATGTGCCTGTAGTTCCAGCTGCTTGGAAGGCTAAGGCAGAAGGATTGCCTGAACCCAGCAGGTTGAGGCCCTGGTGGTAGTGAGCGTGCTACTGCACTCCAACCTGGACAACAGAGTGAGACTCCAATTAAAACAAAACAAAAAACAAAAAAAACCTTTTAGGCCAAGTATAGGGCGAAACACACTTAGTGACAACATGGGCACACCCTGGTTGTGCCCTCAAGCAGGGGACTGGAGCCTGGGAGAGGTCCTGGCGTGGGCAACCCAGAGTGTCCCCTTTTCAGCAGGTTCTGCACCTGGACCTGCCGGTCATGCTGGGGCCATGGGTGAAATATTCTCCAAGCCTACTGACCACATCTTGCAGCTGTGCATAGGGAATGTCTTCCCACACCCTTCCTTGATGCAATCGCCTGTCTCTCCCTCCACCCCCATCCCCCCACTGGTTTAGACCAGATCGGGCACACCTAGGTCAATGCCTGTAACAGGCACGCATCACCACACCCAGCTCAGTTTTTGATTTTTTTTTTTTTTTTTAGTAGAGATGAGGTCTCTCTATGTTGCCCAGGCTGGTCTCGAACCCCTGGGCTCAAGTGATCCCTCCACCTCAGCCTCCCAAAGTGTTAGGACTACAGGCGAGAGCCATGATGCCCGCCAGGGCACACTAGAAACATGACCCATTTCATGCTTAGCCCCGCACTCCACCCTATGTAGAAAACTATGCGAGTAACCTACAGTTGGGAGTGTTTTTTTCCCATCCAGTGGCCAATCCTGGACCACCTTTCCTGTAAGTACATTCTTGAATAAAGCCCATGTCTCCAGCTGGGCTCGGTGGCTCAGCCTGTAATCCTGCACCTTTGGGAGGCTGAGGGGAGTGGATTGCCTGAGCCCACGGGTTCGAGACCTGCCTGGGCAACTTGGTGAGACCTCATCTCTACAATAAATCAAAAATGAGCCGGGCGTGGTAGCACGTGCCTGTAATTCCGGCTACTCAGAAGGCTGAGGCGGAAGGATCGCCAGAGCGCAGCAGGTGGAGGCTGCGGTGGCCGGGAGCGGCCACTGTACTCCAGTCTGGGCGACAGAGTGAGACTCCAACTCAAAAAAAAATAAATAAATAAATACAGTAAAACTAGGATCATCAGTTTTGGTAATAATACCAGCAGCAGTGCATACCTTTGGGCTTAAGTCTGAGGGATGACCATTATGTCTATGGATCCCTTTCTATCCTAAAAAAAAATAAGTTTTGGCCAGGTGTGGTGGCTTAAGCCTATAATCCCAGCACTTTGGGAGGCCAAGGTGAGAGGACTGCCTGAGCCCATGGGTTCAAGACCAGCCTGGGCAACTTGGCGAGACCTCATCTCTACAATAAAACAAAAAATTAGCTGGGCGTGGTGGTGCATGCCTGTAGTTCCAGTTACTTGGAAGGCTGAGGCAAAAGGATGGCCTGAACCCAGCAGGTCAAGGTTGCGGTAGCTGTGAGCATGCCACTGTACTCCAGTCTGGGCAACAGAGTGAGACTCCAACTCACAAAAAAAAAAAAAGCCCATGTCTCCTTGGTTGTCTCCAGGTCATTTCATTCAACCAACCTCTCAGACACAGTGCCTTCCTTTTAGGGTCTTTGGGGACCTGACACTACACCATGTGTGGTGGCTTACAACCATAATCCCATCACTTTAGTAAGTGGATCCATTGAGGCCAGGAGTTTGAGGCCAGCCTGGGCAACACAGCCAGACCCTGTCTCTACAAAAAATTTAAAAATTGCCTGTAGTCCCAGCTACTTGGGAGGCTGAAGCAGGAGGATCGCTTGAACCCAGGAATTCTAGGCTGCAGTGACATGATTGTCACTACAATCTCCAGCCAGGGCAACATAAAGTCTCTCTCTCTTTTTTTTTTTTTTGGGTTGGAGTCTCACTTTGTCACCCAGACTGGAAAGCAGTGGCACGATCCCGGCCATCACAGGCTCGACCTGCTGGGTTCTGGCGATCCTTCTGCCTCAGCCTGCCAAGTAGCTGGAACCACAGGCGCACACTACCACACCCAGCTAATTTTTCATTTGTTGTAGAGATGAGGTCTTGCCAAGTTGCCTGGGCTGGTCTCGAACCGGCAGGCTCAGGCAATCCACTCGCCTCAGCCTCCCAAAGTGCTGGGATTACAGGCTGAGCCACCGAGCCTGGCCATAAAGTCTCTTAAAAGTAAATAAACAAGTTTTTGGTCTTTCCTTCTGTAAGCATTCACTGAGCACTGACCAGGTGTTAGGGTTCAACGTGGAATGAGGCCAAGTTCCATCTCTCATGGAGCCCATAGTCTCGTGGGGCAAGTCGGACAAGAAGCAAGTAAAAGCCACAAACAAGATCATTCCATGGCTGGGTGTGGTGGCTCAGGCCTATAATCCCAGCACTTTGGGAGGTAGAGGCGAGAGGATCACCTGTGTCCACAGGTTCAAGACCAGCCTGGGCAACATGGTGAGACCTCATCTCTACAATAAATCAAAAATTAGCCAAGTGTGGTGGCTCACGCCTGTGGTTCCAGCTACTTGGAAGGCTGAGGCAGGATGGGCTGAGCCAAGCAAGTTGATGCCGTGGTGGCTGTGAGGGTGCCACTGCACTCCAGCCTGGGCAACAGCAAACTCAAAACAAAAAACAAAAACAAACATCATTCCAGGCCAGGCGCCCCTGAGCCCAGGAGGTGGAGGCTGCAGTAAGCTGTGACAGTGCTACTCCAGTCTGGCCAATACAGTGAGACCCCGACTCAAAAAAACAAAGCAGAAATGTGAGGCATGCATTGTATTTCTATTAGGCGGCACTCAAAAGTTAACTGTGATTCATGTGCATAGCTATGACTGGGAAGGGAGTCTCATTTTCTCTCTTACTCGCTTCCTGAACAATTTAATTATTGGTTTAGTTTTGTAATTTTGAAATTAGAAACAAGGGAGAGTCACATCCTGAAATAATCAGTGAAGAAAATTGAAATCACTCACTAGAAGTGGGGGAATAACTAGTGATGGCCTTAAGGGACCTGAAAGTGACCTTCCACCCTGGGAACATGTTTACGTGGACTTTGAAACTGTTCACATTTTTTTTATTGAATAGGGGTTTCATCCTGCCACCCAGGCTGGAGTGCAGTGGTACAATCATGGCTCACTGTAGCTTCAACCTCCTGGGCCCAGAAGATCCTCCCGCCTCAGCCTCCCAAGTAGCTGGGACTGCAGGTGCACACCACTGTGCCTGGCTAATTTTTTGTATTTAATTTGTAGAGATGAGGTGGTCAGCTATGTTGCCCAGGCTAATCTCAAATTCCTGGGCTGAAGCGATCCTCCTGCTTGGACTTCCCAAAGTGCTGGAATTACCATGCCTAACGAAGCTGTACACTTTTTTTTTTTTTTTTTGAGTCGGAGTCTCACTCTGTCACCCAGACTGGAGTGCAGTGGCCGCTCCTGGCCACCGCAGCCTCGCCCTGCTGGACTCCGGCGATCCTTCCGCCTCAGCCTTCCAAATAGCTGGAACTACAGGCGCGCGCTACCACACCCGGCTAATTTTTGATTTATTGTAGAGATGAGGTCTCGCCAAGTTGCCCAGGCGGGTCCCGTACCCGCGGGCTCAGGCAATCCACTCACCTCGGCCTCCCAAAACGCTGGGATTACAGGCTGAGCCACTGAGCCCGGCCAGCTGTACACTTCCTAAAACAAGCTGAAGATCATTTATACTAACTCTGTGGGAGAAAAAAAAGAAGAAAGGAAACAAACCGAAGGACAAAGAATAAAATGTTCTGAAGTTGCTTTTATTCCAGGAATTCTGTGAGCTCCGCCCCGACACCATCAGCGCCAGCTTGTGCCATGGGACCCCCATATAACAGCACTGTGGGGGCGCCTGGGGCCTGCCAGAGCCCTGGTCCCCCAGCCAGTCAATGTGACTGAGTCCGCCAATGAGGCCGGCTTGGCCGTCCCCAAGTGGTCCCTCTATGTCCCCACTCCTCGGGCGGGCGAACAGTGGGACTCCATACCCTTGGCCCCCGCATCCAGGATCTGTGCACGCCCTGTGGCCCTGTTCTCAGAGGGCAACGCGTGCAGCCCCCCAACTCAGAAAGGGGGCCTCTCTGGTCGGGGCTTCTTCTCTGTCCTCGAGGTTCCAGATGGCCCTGCTTGCAGCCCCTGCCCGGGCAGGGAGTGGCCACATCCTGGGCCAGAGTCACTGTCCTCCATGGCCTGGGACCAGGCCTCAGCCAGGAGGCTAGGAGACGGCCACAGCCTCTGTGGGCTGGATCAACATGGTGGTGGCCTGCAGCGGGTAATAGCGGCCGCGCCAGGTCTTCCAGAAGATTCCCTTCTTCCGCTGCTGCCTCTGCCGTGGGATGGAGTGGAAGTACTGGCCATTGAGGTTGGAATGGCTGCAGGTGCCAAACCACCAGCCACCTGCCAGGATCAGAGGAGAGGGACACAGTCAGGTCCATGGGCCTCCAGCGGGGCTGAGAGGGGATAGAGACAGGGCTGGGAGCACTGTGGGGTGGGGGTGAGGCTGGGCTTCGGTTTCATGTTTGAGATGTGAAGACCTTGGCCGTGGTTATTAATCTGTGTTCCAAGGATTCCTGAGTTGTGACAACCCATGCCACTGCAAATCAGCTTTCATAGTCTGTGATCACAGCAAGTTACGTCTCTGTGCCTGGCACGTAGCTAACATTTAGTCTTTAAAAAATAAAAATGGGTCTGGACAACTTGGCGAGACCTCATCTCCACAATAAAATCAAAAATTCTGGCTACTTGGAAGGCTGAGGCGGAAGGATCGCCGGAGCCCAGCAGGTCGAGGCTGCAGTGGCTGGGAGCGGCCACTGCACTCCAGTCTGGGTGACAGAGTGAGACTCCAACTCAAAATAAATAAATAAATAAAAATAAAAATTAAAATGTGGGCTGGGCTTGGTGGCTCACATCTGTAATCCCAGCACTTTGGTTGGCCAAGGCGGGAGGATCGCTTGAAACCAGGAGTACAAGACCTGCCTAAGCAACACAGTGAGACCCCCGTCTCTACAAAGTTTGTTTTGTTTTGTTTTTGAGCTGGAGTCTCATTCTGTCCCCCAAGCTGGAGTACAGTGACATGCTCACGGCCACTGCAGCCTCAATGTGCTGGGCTCACGCGATCCTTCCACCTCAGCCTTCCAAGTAGCTGGAACTATAGGCACAGGCCACCACGCCCGGCTAATTTTTTTTTTTTTTTTTATTTTTCACATGGGGTTTCGCCAAGTTGCCCAGGCTGGTCTCAAACCCATGGGTTCAGGCAATCCACTCGCCTCGGCCTCCCAAATTGCTGGGATTACAGGCTGAGCCACCAAGCCCGGCCGAGACAAGGTTTCTCTATGTTGCCCAGGCTGGTCTTGAACTCTTGGAATCATGCAATCCTCCCACCTCTGCCTCCCAAAGTGCTGGAATTACAGGCATAAGCCACCACACCCAGCCAGCAAGAGGTACTTTCCTATGTCTCATTTTACAGAGTCTGGGCTCTGCCTCCAGTTTCACAAGAGCAAAGCAGGGGGTTGGCCTGGTGGCTCTGCCACATGCCAGCCACCATCCCACACATTTTCTCATTAATTTTCTTTTTCTCTTTTTAAATTTATTTTTAATTTTTTGCGTAGAGATAGGATCTCGCGATGCTGCCCAGGCTGGTCTTGAACTCCTAGCCTCAAGCAATCTTCCCATCACAGCCTCCCAAAGTGTGGGATTACAGGGGTGAACCATCACACCTGGCCCCCTCACTGAATTGGGTAGGGCAGGGCCTGCTCACCAGAGAGGCTCTTGGCGCAGTTCTCATCACCGCGGAGGTCGTGGTCCTGGTCCCACGTGGAAAAGGGCAGGGAGAGGCCATTGGGTGCGACGGTGGCGGCGCCCAGCTTGCTGGCCACGGGAGCCGTGAGCTGCAGACTATAGGCCGTGTCCTCACCCCCCAGATGCACGGGGAACTGCAGCGACTCGGCGTTCCCGTCCCAGTCGTGCAGCTGCACGGCCAGGCGGCTGCGGCGGTCTCCCGTGATGTGGTGCACCTTTTCCAGGCCCAGCCAGAACTCACCTGGAGCGGGGAAGCCACTCAGTGAGGTGGGCCGGCCTCCACAGCCCCCTCCTCCACCCCCTGCCTCTGGCCCCATGGAAACACCCACCTTGGGGGTCCCCGAAGCCCGCCTTGTAGGCTTCCCAGGGCTGGTTGAAGTCCACGGAGCCATCATGGCGTCTCTGAATGACTGTCCAGCCTCCGTCTGCCCAGAAAGGTATAAGGTCACCAGGAGGCTCCTCCTCATCCCCTCATCTGGATCCCAAACCCCACATCCCCTGCAAACCCAAGGAAGGCAACAGCCCCCCACTAATCCCAGGAAGACTGGAGGAGGTGGGGTAAGAGGGAGGATGGCCATAGGTGGGCAGACCAGGACTGAGTCTTTGTCTCAAGGACCAGCCAGGAAGGCCACAAAGCCTCTCTGGGCCAGCTGACCTTGGTCCTCCCCTGCAGTTCTGAGTTGGTCATGGAAGCCAATGGGGAAAAGGGCGGCACTGGGTGTGTGTTTTTAGAGACAGGGCCTGGCTCTATCGCCCTGGCTGGAGTGCAGTACCACAATCATAGCTCACTGCAGCCTCAAACTCCTGGGCTCAAGTGATCCTTCCGCCTGAGCCTCCCAAGTAGCTGGGACTACAGGCATACAACACCACATCCAGTAAAAGCTGCATTATATATATATATATATATATATATTTTTTTTTTTTTTTTTTTTTTTTTTTTTTTTTT